TCAGAACATCATTTTTTATTTGCAAGAGAGTGGAGAGCCATGACTGAAACTAATGGCTGTATGAAGAAGAGAACAAGAAAGAAAGGTAAGAAAGAAGACTATATAAAATAATAACTTCTTTTCTTCCGGGTTTTCTTAATGGTAGCTTTTTTGTTATATCTTGGTGTAATAAAAAGTCTGATTTCATTTTGTCTCAAATTTTCAGCTGACTATGTTGAAAAATTTTAAGGCCCCACTCCTGTCACTGCCATCTCCTTCCTCTTATTCCTTACCCCTGGGCAAGCTGGTAAGATGGCCCTGTACTCTCTCCTTTGTCTTCATTGGGAAATTTAAACCATACAAGCCCATTTCCACAAAAGGAGAGTCTCAGCCCAGTCCTACACCCCAATCGCAATAAAAATGTCAAAGCAGTCCTCTTTCTATTCACCTTCTCTCTGTAGCTCAGTTTCAAGCTTACTGGGGCCTAGTGCTGCTGTCCTCAGAACTCTCATTATATGAGGGAAAACAGTTTTTATATGAGCTTGGTCCTTGTGTATCTGCATCCTTCCTGGCATTTGATCCAGTATTTGAGTGGGGACGCGACCCCGTTTCTTCAGTATGTCTACAACATTTAGTCTGATAATTTAAAATTCACTAAATTATTTTTATCTAAATTGTATGGAATATAAGTTTAATAATGCCATTTAAATTATACACCAATAAAATCATTTTTGATGCATTCTTCAGAACCTAAAACCAAATTCTAAAAAAAATTGCAGAGAATGCTGTATTAATTTTGTGCATAAACTGAAGCAACATTCTTCCAAAAGAACAGATGTGGCATTATCCTATGGAATCTACTCACAGGTACATATAAGTAGTGATTTTGAGCTAGATTGGGGATGGAGAAAATATATTTATTATAAACTTTTAAAAACTTATGCATACGTTACCTTTTACAAATATTTTAAAGACAGTTTCAATTAAAAAACCTACCTTTACTACATTATAATGTAGGAGGAAAAGATAGTAGTTTTAATTAAAATACAATTATGCAACTATTAACAAAATAAATAAAGGATGTCTTTACTCGTGATCTCGAGGATACTGATGAAAACAATAATAAAACATATAGGTGAATATTAAATATAATATTTGGCAGTAAAAGTAAAAATAAACTAATAAGAACATGGAGGCAAATAGTATTTTGGAATCTTAAATACAAATATATTAGTATTAATACAAAATAGGTGATTACTATTTTTAGACTGGATGAACAATACACAAATGTGATGTGTAAGAGCATAAAGAAAAAAGAATGACTTCGGCCGAGCACAGTGGCTCACGCTTGTAATCCTAGCACTCTGTGAGGCCAAGATGGGTGGATCACTTGAGGTCAGGAGTTTGAGACCAGCCTGGCCAACATGGCGAAAATCCGTCTCTACTAAAAATACAAAAATTAGACGGGCGTGGTGGTGCACACCTGTAATCCCAGCTACTCAGGAGGCTGAGGCAGAAGAATAACTTGAACCCGGGAGGTGGAGGTTGCAGTGAGCTGAGATTGTGCCAATGCACTCCAGCCTGGGAGACAGGGCGAGACGCTGTCCCAAAAACAAAACAAAATGAAACAAAACAACACAAAAGAATGCCTTAGAATGAGGATATAGGAAGACTTCAAGTTCTCTGTCTTTCTCTCTTTCTCTCTCTGTCAATCTGTGTGCATGTGTGTATGCAGGCGTGCGTGAAATTTAGCTCCAGGATTGGCAAGTGCAACTGTGGCAAGTCCATAATTTGTAGGGCAGGCCAGCAGCCTGGAAACTGCAGTCTTGACAGAATATTTTCATCCTTAGGGAAACCAGTTTTGTTCTTAAAGCCTTTCAGTTGATTAGAGGAGGCCTGTCCAGATTGTCAAGATAATCTCATTTATTTAAAGCCAATTGATTACAGATGTTAACCGAATCTGTAAAATACCTTCACAGTAACTAGATTAGTGTTTAATGGAATAACTGGATACCAGAGCTGTGATAGCTTATTTTAGGTGTCAACTTACCTGGATTAAAAAATGCCTAGAAATATGGTAAAGTATTGTTGGGTGTGTCCGTGAGGTCATTTCCAGAGATTAGCATGTGAGTGATGGGTGTAGTTGGGAAAGACATCTCCATATTGTGGGCAGGTACCATTCTATAGGGCAGGGGCCCAGAGAGCAAAAACAGAGAATAGGCAAGTGTGGGGATCCATCTTTCAGAGTTGGGATATACTCTTCCTCTTCTCTCTTTGGACAACAACTCCAGGCTCCCTGTTCTTTAGACTCTAGGATTTTCATCACTGGTTTCCCTGGTTCTAAGGCCTCCTAACTAACTGAGGCCACACTACCAGTACCCCAACATCTCCAGCTTGCATGTAGCCTCCATAACAACGTAAACAACCCTCCTAATAAATTGTCTATCTATCTATCCATCCATCCATTCCCATCTCTATTCATATCCTATTGATTCTGTCTGTGGAGATCCCTAATGAATACAGTAGCCTAGCTGAGTTGATATATAAAACTCATCATCACAATCTACCTGTTGTCAATTTGACATCCATACACATCTACTTAAACCATAACTAATCATCAAATACAGATAATAACAAAGTCAAATTTCCACCTAATATGATACAGTTATTTTACGAACAACGAAAAACATGCCAATCCTTTCTGCAGAAGATAATGCAATGCTTTGGATGATGCTTACTTCTTGACACTTCCTTAAATTAAATATTATGATGTATGGTTAACAATTATTAATATATTTCTGCAAGACTAGTTGATAAGAGAGAAGTACACCTAAGTATTATATTCTTGTTTTTGTATACACACACACACACACACACACACACACACAAAAGAATATTTATGTGACCTGATAAGGAAGAAATAGTTGCACAACCAACACTTCAAAAGGTGAACGAAATGTGGTGTGAAATTTTGCCTTATTTGCCATATTCACCTGACCTCTCACCAACTGACTATCCCTTCTTCAAGTATCTCAACAATGTTTTGCAGGGAAAACACTTCCACAACGAGTAGGATGCAGAAAATGCTTTCCAAGAGATCATCGAATCCTGAAGCATGGATTTTTATGCTACATGAATAAACAAACTTATTTCTCATTGGTCATAATGTATTGATTGTAATGGTTTTTATTCTGATTAACAAAATGTGTTTGAGCCTAGTTAAATGATTCAAAATTCACGGTCCAAAAACACAGTTAATTTTGCACCAACCTAATATTTCTTATATAGTATGTAAGATATATAAGATCGTATATACAATAATATTTTATTTTACTTCTGTAATTCATTTAAGCATGTTATACTTTTTGATGTTTTTCCACAATTTATGGATGTTTCCTTCTGTTTTTTTCGCTTCGTATATTTTTTTTCTATTTTTTCCCCATTCAGTTTCAGTTCGGTTTCTAAAGGTCTACCTTTCAGTTCACTGATTCTTTCCTTGGCTATGTGAGGTACACTGAAAATTCATCAAAGAAATTATTTTCTGTTATTGTATTGTGTTTTTAATGTTTTTATTGTAATACAATATACATAAAACAAAATTTACCTTTGTAACCATCTTTAAGTGTGAAATTCAAAGATATTATATACATTAATGATATTGTAAATCTGACTTAAAAGATTAAGACTGGAAATCACTACCTTATTTTACTTAACACAGTAACTACTTACAATAAAAAGTCTGAAAAGTTTACATTAGCTTGATAATATGCCTATTGGTAAACAAAACACTGCTTCTGTAAATCTTATAAGTGTTGGTAAAACAAATTTCTTTATCCTATTTTGAAAAGTCTTTTGAAATTACAGGATGTAAACCATTTCTTAAAACCCATTTGTTGGAACAAATATTCAAACAATTACTATGTTTATCATCAGAATTTAGTCTCGCAATATTCATGTAGTAGGTATTCCCTAGATTATAGGAAGGCCATTCCTTTAATAATTGAGCCTATTTTCATAAACTGTTCATTGAATAGTGAAGTGCTCAATACAGGAAAAAAAAATGTTTTCACATGTTTTGTCTTCTGCCCTCAGACAAGTGGAATTAAAATACCTAGAAATTATTTCGCTTAAAAAGATCACTTTTGCCATCTAAGACACGAACTTCTTATTCAAAACTTATCATAATTCATAACAGAATTTTTAATCTTCAATTTGATGTCTGCAAATGTGTATATATGTGAGTACATGGGTGTCTGTATGACAAGTTTTCTGTAGATTTTTTTCAAGATTACAATCCTTTAGAATTTCAATGACTCAGTATTTTTTGAATTCAAGCAAACTTGTCAATAAAAATTGGATTTTTTTTACACTAACCTAGATGTATCTATCTATTTGTCTATCTATCATTGTTATGTTTATCAGCAGTTATAAAATGCAGGCCTATAAACAACTTTCTTAACATAAAATAAAATGAATGATACAGTCTAAATCTCTATTTAAATTTAAATTGACTTAAAACTTAACTTTGTAGTTGAGGGACTCCATAAACGTTGAACTATGCTTTAGAAAGAATAAAGTATGAAGAAAGATATATTTAGAAAAATGACCGTTTTATAATAAAGAAAGATGAAATATGCAGTTAAGCTTTGAATTCTATTTTTGGAAATGAGTCATATTCAAAACATTGAACATACTTTGCTTATATGTTGTAGGCATGTTTTTAAAAAGTTAGACGTTGGCAGAGCGCCATGGCTCACACCTCTAATTCTAGCATTTGGGGAACTAAGGCAAATTTAAAAGTCTCACAGAAACTGTAAATACCCATATCCAACTGTACTCCATAAATCATTTTAATTTAAAGAGGTATCAGAAACTGAAAATATTAAAAATAAGACAGTATGAAGCTTCTGGTTCCCTGCAAAAGGTTTCTTCCCACTCTTTTTTTTTCTTTCTTTCTTTTTTCCACTCTTAATAAAAAATAACATATACACACATTTCCTCAATCCAAAAATCTGTTTTGCCTGGTATGCTCTTCTTCCACAAATTGATATATCAATGTCTTCAGAGTCAGAGTATTTCACCCCTTCATAAGTAGTCTTAAACAATTTACCTCTTGCTAACTTTGCTCCCTTTTACTCTATGAACTTGTATAAAATCTTAAAAATAAAGAAGAACAAAATAAATAAACATTAGCTAGAGAAAAAAAATCTTACTTATTTTCTGGATGCAAAATATCAAATCCAGTTGTCAAAGATTTTTTTCTTACTACTTTCTCATTTTTTTTCACTCAATGTCTGCCCCAACATTTTCTGTCCATAGCATTTCACTTTAAATCATTTTATAATTTGTTTTACTTTTTATTCAAAGATAGGTGCCTTGGAGGATTACACCTCCTATACTTTGTAAGGGGTTTGTTTAAAGAGTACTAAGCTTGAAGAGTAGGTTCTGGGGATCCAATGTACAGAATGGTGACTCTAGTTAAAAGCGTATTGTATACTTGAAATTGCTAGGAGAGTAGCTCTTAAATGTTCTCACCACAGAGAAATACACACAAAGATAACTATGTGAGGTGACGGATTTGTTAATTAGATTTATTGTGGTAATCATTTCACAATGTATATAAATTAAAATATTATATACGCTATAAGTATATGCACTTTTAAGTTGTAAATTTTACCTCAATAAAACTAGAAAAATAAAATAAATATTTAGCAATAAAAAATAATAATAATATGAGAAACAGACTTCAACATCTCTGGGTTAATTTATGCAATTATTTTAATAATGATGTTTATTGTATTTTTTCATGTACCTTTATAATCTCTCTAGGAAAATTGTCAGCATCGTTTGTTTTTACCTTTCATTAAGAGAGGAAACTATGTGTATTGAACATCACCACTGACACAATTACTTGCATGTTATTTCAATGTAAACTAAAAATAAATTATTTTTTGATAACATTATTTGTTTCATCAAGAACAGGAATTCAAATTTCCTTATCGTTAAGCAACATTGGTCTACATGGTTGCCTGCATAGCCTTCTTTGACTATTAAAAACAAATTAAAGATCACTGCCAAAAATAATTATCTTACTAATGACGGCAGATAAATCATTACAGAGTTTAAAATAATCAGTGTATTTACTAAAATTTCTGTTTTTATAATGCAATGACTTTTGAAAAATTAATGTTTCTGATTGCTTCATAAGATTAATCTTTGAGACATTTATGATATCTTAAATTTATGGACACTTGGCCATAAAGTGCTAGTCATGATTATTTTTTCAGAAACACAGCAAATATATTGTCAAAGAACTTGCTTTTTTAGTTAGAATTCATTGATTCAAATCTCAGTTCTTACACTTAAATAATTTTAAGCCAATTATTTAATCATTTCTACCAGTTTTCTTGTTAGTAAAATGTGAGTGACTGAAATATTTTCCAGGTCATAATGTTGTTATAAGACTAAGTAGTGTAATTTATATAAAAATTATGCTTATAGAGTGCTTGAAATTAGCACTTATTGAAATAACTATTATTACAATAATAATTCTAAGTAATTATTACTTTTGCCAACCTGCAATAACTTTACACCAACCTAAGAGTATTAAAAATTACTAGTTTTACTGGTTGTTAATATCGAAATCTACTTAAAACTATCATATTTTAACAATTTCTAAAATAGAATTTCAAGATTTTAATAAAATGTATAGTAAAAATAACTCCATTTAAATACAATGCATAAAATATATTTCATATTAGAAAACAAAAAAACTATAAATAAAATTGCATAGCTTTGCTAAAATTTAGATCTAATTCATCCTATTATTTTTCTAGGCTCCAATTGGAATATTTTACTCAAAATTAGACAAAATTCTAGAAAAATGTATGCAGGACAGGGGTCTAACAATTTAGTCAAGTCTAAAAAAAAATGTGGTATCTTCAGTTCTTACTGAATATTTTCTCAGAAGAATTTCTGCTGTGAACTTTAAAAGAGGCTCATTGTTTGATGTGGTGAAAGAAATGATCAAGACTGGGAAATAAATTTTATTCCTTATCATGGTATAAACAATTTTAAGCTTATGGCTTATTTGGAAGAAGGCGTAGTAGAGCGTAAGGATGCCATTTACTTTAATTCAATCTGAAAGTTAGGTAATGAAATATTCCTGAAGATATTTACTGAAATGAGTCTTAAATTCAAGTATCCTCCCATTCTGGAGTTAAAGACCTTAAAAGCCTATATTTATCTCTTACCTTCATCCTTTTTCCTAGACCCACCTTCCAATCTCAGACTACAGTACCTCTTAGCCCTTGGTAGATTACAAGGTTAATCTTTATTATTAAGGTGAAAGACACATTTTAAACTTTAACTGCAAAGAAAAATATCAACTTGTAAATATTAAGACAAAAATATGACTCACTGAATATAGAGATTGTGGCATTAGAAAATGGTGACTCAAGGTATTTTCTATTGGTGAACTTCTCTAAGAGCAGCTGAGATAGATATAGAACAATTGGCCAATTATTTTGTTTTTTTAAAATATGAATCTGTTTAGGAACTTTATGTGTTGCATTGAGAGGGCAAACCTCAAGTTTGACTAAATCATCGAGTTTCTGCTCTACCAAGATATGCCATATTCAGAATGAAACGTTGAGCAGAGGCTTCATTTTCAAAGCCATGCTGTTTACTTGTTTAATTTTATTTTTTAAAAAATATTTTGAAACTGGCTAACTCAATCCCAAATTAAGGAATAACTTGAAATACTTTAAAATGTACTCAGAAATGTTAGCTAATATTCTGAACAATTTACGAATGTAAATCCAGTTGACAATACAAATGGAATTAATTTTTAAAATTAACTTCATTTGAGTATTAACTATATATAATAAAATTGATTGAAGTGTAATTTAGACATACTACAATTCACACAGCAATTAACTAAATTTATCTGGACAGTTTCATGAGATTTTTTTCAAATATATTCAGTCGTATAAAACATCAAAATTATATTTAATATTTTTGTCATCTCCAAAGCTCCCACATGGCTCTGAATGTTCTGATCCCTTCCCTGACCTTGACCCTCCGAAGCAATTAATCTGTTTTCTGTAATATTATGTTTGTATTTTCGAAAGTGTATGTGAACGGAATGATACTTTAGGTATTCTTTGGTCTCACTCTCTCACCTAACATAACGCTGTCAAAATGCATATATGTTGTGTGCTAATCATCATATCCTTTTTCTTGCTAAGTATTCCATTTTACATCTTACATTTACCAAAGTTTGAAATATTGCAAATAAAATTTTTATGGGAATTTGTACAAGTTTTTGTGTAAACATGTCTTCATCTGTATTACGGAGTTATCAAATAATGAAACCTACACAGTAAGTGCATGCTTCGCTTTATAAGAAACCATCAGCTTTTTAAAAATATTGATTGTATCATTTTACATTCTATCAAAGCAGATTTCCTTTCACTCTTCATCTACACCAACCTTGTAAGGTCAATCTTTTTACTCTAGCCATTCTAGTAGTTGTGTAAAGGTATTGAATTGTTTCTATCTACATATACGAATCACTAAGTTTGAGCATCTTTTCTAGGGCTTGTTGGCATTTATGAAATACTCTGCAAATATTTTCCCATTTATTTATTAATGGATCATATTTTTTTCTCTTCATGTCCATAATTTTTAAAAAAATGTATTCTGAGGCCACAAAGTGCATCTTATTTTTTGTAGAAATTTCATAATTCTAGTTCTTATGTGATATATTTTAAGTAACATATATGCTATACAAAAAGGTTTGAGATACATTTTTTGCCTATATATATCATTTTCCCAGTATCATTTATTGAAAAGATTATCCTTCTTTCTAAGTGCAGAGCTCATTCCTTAACCATTAGCCCTTATTAGAATTCATTTGATTCTTTGTTAAATCATTCCTGTCTTTTTTATCTTTTGACATTTTTCTTCTTCTCTGATTTTTCTTTTTAATTTAAATCATTTAAAACTTACATTCAATAGCCTGTAACGCAATTATTTTACTACAGGTCTTCTATCTTCACTCTCCCTCTTTTGATAAGTTGTTTCTTCATGCATCTGGTAATCTGAGTCATGGGTTTGTCCCAGCCAGGCTTTATCCCCAGCAACCTCGTGCAGCCCGGCTAAGCATGTGCCCTCCAGAGCTGTAATATGGTAGCTATGATAAGTGCTCAAGTAGTATTGATGATTCATTTTCCATTCTGGAACATATAGGTAATTGACTTGTAAATTCTGATGCATTCTGGAACATATAGGTAATGCAAATTTAAGCCTTAAAATATTTTGAGTATAATATTGTATTACAAATTCTCAGTGAACACGTTGTATTTGTATAAGCCTTAAATGCAGTCTTTTTTGTTACCTCCATGTATCAGTAAACAGAATGTTTGAATACTCCCTTTCACTGAAGATGTAGCCATCAGGTGATTTTTGACTTTTGCATGAATCTAAGTTCCAACTTTCCATTTTTGAATGACCAAAACCTTCTTTTCTGCACCAAAAGGCTGTGAAAACACAAACCACTTGAAAACTAAGGCCACTAATCTAACCTCCTTCTATCAATTTACACCAGCGTTCTGATTTTCAGTTAGTGTTTTGTGTTTACTTTTAAATTTTACTTTCTTGTGAATTCTGTTAATATAAAACGATGCCTCTTTTATATTCAATAGAGATGCTAAGTCTTTAGTAGCATGAAAAATAGATTGCAGGTTATCTACAAAATCCAGAAAATAAAAGTCTAAAATCATCTTTTTATTTTATAGAATTTTCACAAAATCCTGGACTCTGTTTTATGTTTTCCGCATCTGCTTCATGTTTGTTTTTATTTATTTCTGGATAGATTCCCTTAACACTAAACAACATACTTTTTTGAGGATGTCATTTATTATAATAATATCTGGATATGTTGGAGAAGTCCATACCAGCTCTCTGTTGGCCAGTGTGAAACTTGATCCCTTTACCCTCACATAGAGAAGAAGACATATTCACCTAACTTTCAAAAGGGGACTTACTTAGATATTTGTGTCAGAGGGATGTTGTATTTGCTACTAATAGAAATCGCTTTGTTTCCCAAATACCGTAATATGTTTGATTGCCTCCGTGGTGGTCATTTGCCTTAGGGCTAAAATCTGCCCTTCTGCACCCTGTGCATTTTTAAAATAATGAGTCTTTGCAAGTATGTCTTCTAGTCATCTTTGTCAGCTGTTACCTGGCTAGTTCCTTCCAACAGGAGGCACTAGCAGGTGATTACAGGTCAGAGGAACTTCTGCCTTCTGGAGGCATCTTTCCATCAAGGCCTGTCAGGGCTCACAGCACAGAGTCTTATTCTCAGTCGTCAGACCAATATAACACCTAGGGCTTCCCAGCATCCCCCACAGTCCAGGGAACCAGGTGCTGTTCACACTGTGTTGATTCTTCCAGCTCCAGTGGGGAGATGCCCCAACCCTCACCAGGAAACACAGGCTCAGCTTATGACTCATGGGAGTTTCTCCATTTCTGACAAATACCTTGCTCCTCCTCCTTTCCTCCTGAGAAACACTACCTCTCTTTTCATCCCCAGCACATCTAACACCTTAACAAGAATTCCCTATATTAAATCTCCCTCTGTTCATTATACTAAAATGGGCTCTGTTTTATTGTGTAGACCCTTAGTGATACAATCCTCTAGATAATACAGTGACAGTTACTTTTGAACGTAATTCAGGCAATGTTGAAATCATTCATGCATACTGCCTTTATAAAAGGAAAAATCACAATTCCTAATAATATGTCATAAAAACATTTATAAAGACCATTTTAGTAAAATAAGTTAATAATCCAGTCTCAGAAAATTCATGACAAAGTCACATCTAAAAGGACGTTGAAGTTTAAAAAAAACACACCATATATCTTATAATTTTATATATAGGAAGTACAATATTGTCAGTAAAGTTTCAACATAAGAAAGTAATATTCACACATTCCTTTTAATCTTTTCTTATGCTTAGACAACAAATCAGTCAACAAATAACTACTAGCATTAATACCATGTCAATCACTGTTCTAGAAGACAAGTTCCTGGCCTCTGTAGCTTACATTCTAGCTGGGAAGCCAGGTAATAACATTTAAGGCAATTGTACAGTGATAATTTTAAATAGTGATGAATGCTATGAAGAAAATAAAATGTAAATAAAATAGTAAATAAACTAGGATAATATGATTTAGAAAATGGCTCCTTTTGAAAAGGTTGACATTTTAGCTCAATCCAGAAGGTCAGGGTGAAGAGGGACTGGTGGTTTCCACTGGAAGTGTGGCAAAGGAACTAGAACTGGGAATGTCTGGAATATGTTTTGTAAGTAGTGAATACAGTTTACTACATCAATGTGACGGTAACAGTCAATATGAGAATTTTGGCCTAAGCAACTCTATGAATGAAGGTGTCATTTAAGACTTTTTTGTTTTCTAGATAATTTGGCAAATAATAAGGACTTGAATTATATGTTACAGAATAGAAATCTTACATGTGGATTCTAGGCTTCCATGATATTTTGGAGAAAACTTTATGTAGAGAAAAGAAAGTAATAGGCTGAACACAAGGACAAAAAATAAAACATTCTATCAAATTTCACATTTTGGGTTTATACTTACTTCTGAATAGCCTAAGAAACAGGGATCACTTTTCTTATAATTATACTCTCTCCTCTTTTCCAAGTCTGTAGTTACCCTGTCTATGTGTATCTTTCACTGACACCGTCCATATACCACAGAACATCTTCTGAGGGACAATTCACATGACATTTTTTGGGTCTTTATAGAGAAAAACTCAAAATTTTCTTCAAGTCTTTGGGGTGGAAAATAATTGTGATATATGTACTACTGTTCAAAACAAAGAATCTGTAAATGAGTAATAGTTGAAGGTATATATTTTATAGTGTTAGCTAATATAAGGAAAATAAAGTCCCTTTATAAGTATCTAAATTTTTTCATCTCTGCATTTCTATGATACATTATATTATATGTGTGTATATTATAAATAATCACTAATAACTGTTCTATTGTATACTAATCAATAGTCTTGATGCCACTTAGATATCAATATTTTATTCACGGAAATAACAGATTTATTTTTTTGTTGATAGTTGAACCTAACCTGAGAAATTAAATATGAAGCTAAGATATCAGCTTGACTCATGAATAATTTATCATTCCTGTTTTACTAATTGTGAAATGAAAATATTTAGGTCAAAGATTTACCTGACATTCCTGTGGAATTTTGCATCCTCTGGTCTTTTTTATTCATTATTGCAGCTTTATGTTTTTCTGGAGATTTTGCCTACATCAGCTCTTGGTGGAATTTGCTTGCAGTTCATTATGACATCTGGGTAACATAATAAAAGAAAGCAAAGTTTTGAAATAATAGCTGTGTTTGCATCTTACATGCATTCTTGATATCATGGGACCCTTTTGGACACATTAGAATCCCAGGATACTGAAAACTTATGCAAGAAATCAGGTGCTAATTTATAATTTATTAACTCCCTTTTTGTTCTTGAAAGTATGAGATTGTAAATAGTTCTACATGGGATCTTTTTAAGACATTTCATTTATCATGTGGGTTAGATAAGCATTGCTATAAAACTTCTAATTTTCACAAATTAAATCAGAGATCTTTGATTATTAATTTACATATTTTTATCCTGTACATATTAGATATCAGCACTTGGGAATATCAGTGCCAAATTTAAAAAAATGTCACTATTATTATAGAGCCATATGGCTTAGGGAGAAAAGATACAGATAATAAACTAATTATGTCAAGTGATTTTGGAGCCATAAGTGCTATGGCAAAAGTGACATAGGGTAATGGGACTGAGGCTACCATGGTTTATATGTTTGTGTCCCTTCAAAATTTATCTTTTAAAATCCTAATCTTCAAGGTAATGCTATTAGGAGGTGGAGGTTTGGGAAGTAATAAGCTCCTGAGTGGGGAGCCCTCAAGAATGAGGTTTGTGCCCTGGACAACTCCTGTGCACCACATGAGGACACAAAGAAAGACACCATCTGAAAACCAGGATGCAAACCTTCCCAGACTCTGAGTCCACTGGCTCCTTGATTTTGGACTTCCCAGCCTCCAGATCTATGAGATGTAAATTTCTGTTGTTTGTAAACCACTCATTTTTGTGACATTTTGTCACATAAGCCCAAAAATAACTAAAACTTGGGACTTGGTTTGGCACGATAGTAAATTTAGAGAGACTGAAAAGAAAAATCTTTTCTGAGGAGAGAGTATTTTAGGTGAGAAAAGGAATATTAAAACGTAGAAATGTGGCAATCTGGAGAAAGAATATTCTGGATGGTGAGAAAAGCAAAGAGAAAGGTCACCAGAAGAAATTGAGCGTTGTCTGCTTCAGAGAGAGATAGAAGCCTGGCATGGTGGGCACACAGGATGTGAGGAGAAAAGGAGAAGCTGCCAAGGTTTTGTATGTCATGGTTAAACTTTGCATTTTATTCAGGTTTAATACAAAATGCATTGGTGTGTTTGAAGCAGTGTGACTGTCTGATTCATTTTACATTTTATACATATTACATTATGCATAGCACATATAGAGAGGAAGACTTGAGAAAAGCAAGAGTAAAACCAGGGAAAATAGTTGACAGATGATGGCAGTAGTTCAGATGATACTTAAGAGAAGTGAAATACAGTGTTTAAGAAATGATATCTCCAGAAACTTAATGGTAGATATATAATAGGGTGTCTAAGCCACATAAAATTATGAGTATGGCCTCTGTGTCTTTCTCTCTCTCATCTCATGGTATGTTCTAATGAATACATACCTCCTTCATCACTTTTTTTTTTTTGCTTCAAATCTCCCTCCTCTAAAAAGTTCTTGCCCTCACTAGGACCGGCTACCTCATGTCTTTGTGATTACAGATTGTTTTAAAATTTATCTGGCCTAATAATTGATTAGGATATTCTAATTCAGTCTATAGGTGTTGTAGGTCATCACTTAAGGCAGAGCATATAATTGGGTAGCAATAATTCAGACACTCACCCCAATCTAAAGGGTTCTAAAGAAGAAAAATCCCCATAGTCTAAATATTAAAAACTAAAGCATACACTATACCAGGAGTAATAGAATTCTTCTATATTAGAAGTTCCAGACCTTAGCAAATATCCCTAATGCAAATATCGCAAAGTAAAACGACTGCCAAAGTTACTGATGAGGCATTTCTGATCATAGCTTTAGCTTTGAATATGTTAGTGTATTAGCTGTCTATTGGTACCATAATAAATTGTCACTAATTTCGTGGATTGAAACAACACCCCTTTATTACGTTACTGTTCTCTGTCAAAAGCCCAGCACAATATCATTGGTTCACCTAATCCAGGTGTGGGCAGGGCTAAGATTCTTTCTGGGGATTCTGGGGATAAATCTACTTCTAAGCTCCTTCAGGTTGTTATCAGAATTCATTTCCATGCTATGAACACGAAAGTGCCTATGTTTCATTTATGCGAGATGGATAAGTAATAGAGACAAGCTGTACAACATTGTGTCTATAGCTAATACTCTTACATTTGTACAAACATACTTACATTTATTTTTAAGTACATTATAACTAATGCATTTATACATTTTTTGGAAGACTATTTATATTAAGTGTTTTTACTACAACTTTTGAAAGTTATTTTCCTTCCTTATTTCTTTTCTTCCCTCCATGTCTCCCTTCTTTCCTTTTTCTTCCTTCTTTCCCTCCCTCCTTCTTCACTTTCTTCCTTCATTCCCTACTTCTTTACTCCCATTCTTCTCTCCCTCCTTCATTCCTTCCCTCCCTCCATCTTCTATTCCTTTGTTTCAGTTTGCCATCCGAAGCACAAGGAACAATTTAAGGTTACAAAATTGATTAATATACACTCTGAATAAATTTATGTCAAGTTCCTACTTGCAATAGAATTTTGTTTTTCTACAATTGAAAAATGAGTCTTGAAAGAAAGTAAACTAAAAGCTGGAAAAGCACAATTTCTATTTTTACTTTGACGTATAAATTGCCTTTGTCATTTTAAAATATGGCAAATTAAATATTATGATAAATGCATACGTTTTTCAGACACATATTTTAAAACATATTTAAGTATGTAAGTTTTCCCAACATGTTAAGTAGAACCAAATAGCAGCCAAATTCCAAGTACACAATTACAGCTGAATGTAGAAAGCTGTGAAGAATTTAGTAACGTATATAAAACCCAGTCCTCAATTTAGCCAAATACTGTAATTTGGAAGTGCTAAATCTTATGTAATTCCAAACCTTTGCTGAAAGAGACCAAGACATGACGTGAGACAAAGCCATCTTTGGTCTTCTACAGTTTATGCAAAGTCAAAAATTTTTTCTATCTGCAAATTTAATTTCCGTAGCTTGGTAAACTCATGTCGACCTAATATGTATTTTCACCATGATAGTTACTTTGATTTAAGGTAATGTATTTTACCTTAGGTTTATTTATTATTAAGCATTTAAAATTGTGTTTTAAAAATCTGTGGCACTAGTTTAACTAGAATTTTACTGGTTCTGTTATTCTGTGAGTCAAGATGCAAGTATTTGAGTGACTGCCTCAATCTTATCTTTACTATTCACCCTTTATTTTATCATGAAATTTGCAGCAAAATGGATCGTCTAGCAACACCAATATTATGGTAGAAATATAAAGTTCATAAACCCTCTCAAATTAGGAAAAGAAAAGGAAAAGAGGAAGAAAGAGGGGAAGGAAGATGGGAAGAAAAAAAGCAACAAGAAGAGGAAGGAGAAGTAGAAAAAATAAATAATACATAGGCATCATGGATGGCATTCTGTATATGATGTATTTGAAAGGACTTGTTTCTTTCTGTCTGTGAAACGACTTGTTTCCTACCTCAAACCACAATTGCAATGGTTTTTTGAGGAAAAACATGACTAATAGAGTTACAGAAGTATAGATTAAACACAGAGTGTAAAATAGTGAGGTGGAAAGATAACAGCATAGACATACATATAATTACAGGGGAAAATGCCAGATAGATAATATAGTATTTTCCACCTCTGAAATATATTTATATCTCTGAGATGGACACACATGTTCAGTTTTATGTGTGATATAACACACAGGATATTTAATAACAGTTTTGACATAACAAGAAAATGAGAATGAATATCATTCCCCAGGTGTCATTCTAGCTGCCTCAGACTGTTCTCAGTCACACATCAGTCCTGGTTTTAGTGCAGATAATGTCGACATAGGCTTGTGGACAAACCATTGTATCAACTATGAGGGATCTAACAGAGTGTAATCGATAAAGTGTAGTCTCAAGACAATTATTGTAAATTTAAGCTATGTACAGGACAAAACAGGTAAATACTACATACAAGTGAGTGCAATTTAAAAATAAAATGTGTTTCAATGAGAAAAGTACAAATTTAAAATTTTAGGAAGAAGAAAAAATTTTGTCAATATTAAAATTTTTTCATTAACAGGAAAAGTATCTTCACAAATAAACATCATTAATGGATACAATATAGAATATACTTAAATATTTATGCCCTATTTGGAATGAAACAATCTTTAAAAATATTTTTAACTGGATGTCTGGTATTCTTATACACCAATTAGACCTCACATATTTAGAAATTGCCATATTCTATAGAAAACCAATTTTTGTTAATAATTCTATCATTGATATCTTTGCTCAAATGTTCATCTAAACGTATTACTTCATCACATTATTTAAAATATCTATTATCTGATACTGCATTAATGGGTATAATAATTGTAATGAATAATAAGAGATAATATATAGATGATACTAAATCAGATATTATAAATTAGTTATTAATATTGACGATATTGCTAATATATCTTATAATATAATAGAGATTAATAGTATTAATCTAGATAATATTTATCTGGATCCTATTAATAGAGAATACATAAGTAATATCTTTTATTATATGTAAAATAATTTTAAAAGAGTACAATTTCAGGGTAAAGGATCACCTACTGTTTGAGCCCTTGGAACATAATTGCAAAATCGTTTCATCAGCACAGAAAAGAATGCCAACCCTGTTCTCATTATTGGCTGAAAATTACATTTCCCTTTTATTTGAATAATGTTCTGTATTTTTCCCATTATAACTTCTCGGAAGAGCAGTGAAATCCATGTTACTGTGTTTGTTTCTTAAATCATTTAAGGAATTAGTTTGTTTTTGATTTAGAAAGTCATTTTTTACCAATTCTGATTATAATGATCACGTTTTAAAATACATGTTTTAAGAACTTAGAACATTAAACTATATTGAGCTAATATAACTTCAAAAATAACATG